TATGGTCATCCCACACGTTGAAGCAAATTTAGGGTGACAACGAAATACACTCTACCTAGTCCATGACTTCTTTTCCTCAGCTAATCAATTAATTAATTAATTAATTAATTAATTAATTTTCTCAGCTAATTTCAAATTGCTTCCTCTGGATGGCAGGATCCGCTTCTCCTTGCTTAGCGTTTACTTTGGTTCAGCTGCCAGGGGGAACCGCACTAGTGCGCAGACTCCGGCGGAGAGCGAATTAGCCCCGCCCCGTGACGTCACCGGAAGTGAGGCGGCGGAAGTTGTAAAACGCTTTCCGAGCGCAAGTCGGCGGCGTCTTCCTGGCTTCCCGACCGGAGGTATGGCCGATGAGGAAGAAGACCCCAACGTGAGTGTCGCCGGGCCTCCGCCCTCTCGTTTCCGCGCTCGCTCCGGCTCGGTGGGGCGGCTCGGGAGGCCGAGATCAGAATCGGGTCTGTTTCCCGGAGTGGAGTTTGGGGACCCTCAGCCTTGTCGGCCACTCCCCGGGTGGGCATCGTGGTAGTCCGCGGGGCGAAGCGTGAAGGACAAGGAGGAAGGTGGCCCCCGCCCTCTGGTTTTGGTTCACATCTTCCGTTCACCTTTTGGAACGTTTAGGCTCCAGACTCAGTAGGAAGTGGTTTCAAAAAGCTCGTGGAAAATGGAATTAGAACGGAATTTCCCCAGTTTGTTTTCAAAGCCTCCACGTAATAGTAAGAGCTCACTGTGAACAGTTCAACTGCTGCCGGAACTGTATACTTACTGTAAAGTCGTAGAAAGATAGTAGCTCTCGAAGTCTCTTTGCGAGCAAGTTATTGAACCTTGAGCCTCGGTTTCCTTCGCAGAAAATGCGCGTAAGACTTAATAAGTAAAGCCGCTAGCACTGTGCTTGGTAAATATTAGTTCTGCTCATTTACAATGAGGTTGACTGTTAATTCATTGCCTGCTCTCTTTACGGCTAGCAATGGGTCAACCTAGTTGGTTTAAGTAAGAAGAAAAAGTTCACTACCTGATGTGATTGAAATTTGAAATGATACATGTGCTAAATCCCAACTAATATCAAAAAATGTTTTCTCTTTCACTCGTTGGAACTCTTCCAGGAGAGCCAGTTGGAGTATTTGTTAGGAGCAATGTAGAAAGTATTCCTCATGAGTCAGAAATTGGTCTAGTCCTTAAGACCCTCTTAAGCAGTGGTTCTCAACCTGTGGGACGTGACCCCTTTGGGGGTCGAATGACCCTTTCACCAGGGTCGCCTAAGACCATCGGAAAACACAAATATTTCACAATA